AATCAGAAGCCCAAATAGCATTAGGTAATTATCCCTTTTTAAAAAAAGTGGTTTGAAGAATCTGTACTGAAATCACACCATTATAAATGAATTCAGATAGGTCAAAATGCTCTGAGTTCTTTGATTTTGCAACAGGAAGCTGGGAGCTCTGGGATATCTCTAGGTGAGATCTTGGGATCTGATTGTGCTAGAGGCTATCAGCTGGGACCGTCTCACGGAATGCACTTTTCTGTCTTGTCCTCTGCAATGACCATTTTTGCCAACAGAATTCAGCAGAAAAATATCAGAGGAATATTAAAATCCTCAGTTCACTGCAGGCAATCTCTAGGGAGAAGTATTATGTTGCAGAACTAGAGATTTGATAGCAAATGTGTGTATAATATAATGGTTTTGGCCACGGAGAGTAAACAAGCGAGGCCCAAACTCTTAGGTAGAGTGAATCTCATTGGTAACTTTGAATCATAGAATCATAGAGCCATAAAGGTCAGAAAAGATCTCCATGATCATGCAGTTCAACCTACCACCAATACTTCCCCACTAAACCATGTTCCTTAGTACATCTAAACGTTTCTTCAGCACCTCCATGGATGGTGACTCTACACCTTCCTGCGCAGGCCATTCCAGCTCCTGACCACTTTTTCTGAGAAGAAATTTTTCCTAATATCCAATCTGAACCTCCACTGGCACAACTTGAGGCCATTACTTCTCATTCTATCACTATCACCTGGGTAAAGAGGCCAACCCGCACTTCATCTCAGTCTCCTTTCAGGGAGTTGTAGAGAGCATCCACTAGGCGAGCAACTCAATCATAGAAGGAGATCAGAATTTATGAGCATGTGCGTAATTGCAGGTAGGACTGAAGCCTACATTCAGAAATAAAGCGTGATATCTGTGTTGCTGCATACCAGTGTAAAGACAAAAACAATTCTGATCTGGGAGGTTGTTTTTATTGACTAGATAAATCATGATGTACTGTTTCCATGTATTTTCTGTAAGCACCCTATCAGCCATCTAACCTGGATAGCAACAGGGGTAACTCAAGATGGATTTAATGAGATGTGTTTGAAGTACATTCATAACCAGATTCAACAGACATGATTTTTTTATTTCCCCAAGCTTCTGGTAAAGCATTAACCAGCTGTGAAAGTTAATTATACATTAGGCTATAAGTGGCCAGGGCTGGCGGAGATTCTTCAACCTCTGGTATATTTCTATCCCTTGGCAACAACACAGAAGGTGGAAGGCTGAATTTCATTTCCCCCTGGTTTGATATATCTGTGGTACATCAATGTGTTGGGATCTGTTTTTATGTTGCAGTGAGTTTCAGATTTGCTTGCCAAAATTTTGCTTCCATAATGAGGAATATAGATTCTTGTTGGTATTTTCATGTGCATCTAAACCAGGTTAATCTCTACTGTTTGACTAGTTTGCTGTTGCAGTAAACAATGAAGGATTTTTTTAATATATATCTTATTGGTGTGTCTCATGAGCTGTTTCTTAAAGAAGGACTCTTTTTCTCATCAGATATCATTTACAGTTTTTCCACTTTATTTCATTTGTCATTTCAGGTCTAATTACTCCTTTATTAATATCTCTGTGATGCTCTACAACAGTTAAGATGCTGGTAGTGTTTGTAGCCAAAAGTGTCCTATTTGGATATTACTGGACGAGATATTTGAAATTAAAATGGACATTTTGAGTGATCTGCTCCAATAGCAGTTATTACAATAAAATGATTTACTACAACCTGATAATGTAATCTCCTTTTCTCTGGACCTACGTGTATGCCTACTACAATTTCCTGGAAACAACTCAATCATATCAAAACCAGAATTTATTTTTTTTCTTCATGGAAGCTGCGTAAAGAATTCACTTAGGCCTTCTTTATCTTAGTTGTATGCTGTGGTTTCGTTTCTTTATTTTTCCCATAGATTAGCAGCAGAATGATGAGTAGGAATGACTGGATCAGGATAAGTGGATACACTACAGTAATTCATTTCCTTCTGTACACGTATTTCAGAGGCTATGATTTTTTTCTTTCCTCAAACTAATAATTTATCATCATACAGTAGAAAGACGCAGTCTTTTTTTTTCCATTTTCCTAACATTCCTGGAAACAAATCAATTTTTTATAAAAGACAGATGTTTACAGATAGTAATTACAATATTGCGATATGAAATATGCCAGCCAATTGAATTGAGTGCCTGTAAATTTTAAGACATTTAAAGGAATTTTAAGATATTTTGCTGCATGTGTCTTCTTTTCAAATCAATTTAAACCTTCTCCTATTGATTTAGATTAGGGAGGTATCAGCTGTGAGGCTTTACAGATAGCAGGCTAGAAATGTTCAAAGGCAGAAGAAGATCAGTGTGTGACCCCATACCCACTCCACTCTTTCTTTTCCTAGTATCTAACCTGAACTCTCCACTGATGCAGCTTCAAGCCATTCCCTTAGGTCCATCCTGCAGGCTGCCAGAAGGGCTCCCCTCAGCCTCCTCTGCTCTGGGCTGAACAAACCAAGGGACCTCAGCCTCTTCTCATACACACTGCCCTCTTGATCCTTCATCATCTCTGTAGCCCTCCTTTAGACACTCTCAAACAGTTTTATATTCTTATATTGTAGTGCCCAAACCTGCATAGAGTACTCAAAGCGAGGCTGCAGCAGCACAGAACAGAACAATCCCTTCCCTCAGCCTGGCTGATGGTCAGATGATATGCGGCTATGGAAAGTAAGGGCAATGAGCTGGGAAGAAAGAGCGTGGGGCTCATAGGAGTTGTGTTTTCAGCATACTAGCACAAACACAGCACTGTGGGATGGGAACTGTGCTTGCACGTGGACGTGGAGGATTCCAGTGTCAGGGTCTTTCTTTAGAGGAGCACTTCTGTGTCTTTGGCCAGACAAATGTAAGGCTTCTCATACACAGCCTGCAGATGTGAAGTGTGCAAGCCTGCTGGACTGCCTGGAAAGCCCATTTCGTATATCTTAACATCTCCTAAGAGAGCATTTCAGCAGGTGGCACTGGCACAGCATCTGTCCCATGCTGTAGTACCACCAGGAAGAACGGATACCTCTTGCCATGAGAGCTGCTTTTTAAGCAAATGGCCTGCTGCTGATAAGGGGATGTTTCATGACTGCCAGCCTCAGATTGGGAAAGTAATTCATCTTCAGCCATAGACGAGGTTAATAAAAATCAGGGCTTGTAAGGGTGATAAATTGCTCATTAAAAAGTTGCACTGATAGTCTGCTCCTAATAAAACTTCAGCATTTCTCTTCCACTGCAATGCTTTCATATAGGAGGTTGATAAAATGATAACACTGCTTCTGGGAAAATTATCCTCTCACAGTAATTCAAATGCAACATTTCACCACAAACACCTTCTAGTGTTTTTGTATGAGAAATGTTATTAGGCTGTGTATTTCCTGGGACTGATTTACTTTTGCCAATTTTCAGACCCTCGTTCTCCTCTGAGCATATCGCCAGCTGCACCCTGACTTATGTGCTATTTAATTTTTTTTTCCCTTCGTGTTTTTGTTTTTTTTTTTCCCAAATACTTACAGTTCTTAATTTCCCAAGCCCCCTCCGTCTTTGTGCCTGAGCCCTTTTCCCCATTAGCTCCCTCTCTTCCTTCCAGGAGACCGCATTCTGCCTCCTTCACATCTGCTTCATCGGAGTGCATCTTCAGCATCAGTGAAGTTACATTCCAAGTGGCATCAAGAACTCTGCAGGTCTGCCCATCCTTGATTTTCACCTAGAAGCTTTAGCCAGTAAAGCATATGCTTACAGACAAAGTGAACTCCAGCAATTTCAATCAATCTACACTGACTGTAGAACTAGAACAGGTTTAGCTTGCACATCTGATTGCCTCAGTTTCTTAGTTATAAAGCAGAAATCCAACACTTGCCAGTTATATTGGGATAAATTTGTTTAAAATTGTGAGCTGACATAAAACACTAAGTAATTTGTACAGTTATGGGCACTTTCATCTCAAAGGCAGCTTTAGAAACAACTCTTACCTAAGTGAAAAACTGTAATGAAGGAAACGTGTTGGTTGTTTCTTGCTTAAAACCTGAAAAATATGCAAATGGATACCATTAAGAACTTCTGGAACTGCTGTTTAATATGCTAACTCTATAGCCAGCATGAATACATTTCCTTCCATACATTTCTTATTACCACATAATTCCACAGAGATCTGAGTTCCAGAGTGAAAATTCAAATAATATAAAATAAAAACATTGTTAAGTATTCTGAAAAATCTCTCTGTAAGATACAGCTTCAGAGAAGGTTTTTGTTTTTGTTTTTATAAATTTCATAAAAGAAATATTTTATTTAGTTCTCTGCATCCTGCATTGAAAGAGGGAAGTATAGGAGTCACCATAACAACTGTACTACCACCAAAAAAAGTAGCATTTTCTTAAAGCGATACATAAATCTAGCACGATAAACATATATTTGAGGCTTAGTGTCAAAGATTGATGGCAATTACATCAGTGTTGCAACAATAAAAGGAAAGGAGGAAGCAAGCCAACATCGTTAGTCGCAATACTCCTGGGGCTGCAATTCTTTATTTGCCTTTTCCTCACCTCGTATGCACCTAGCCAGGCATATCCACTGATATTTCCCAAAGTACCACGTGATACTTTTGCTGCTATTTTTTCCTAGTGCAACACTTGAGAAAATGCTGCATGAAACTGACAAAGTGCAGCAGAGGACAAGAGCAGGTCCTTTGGTTTCAGGAATAGCTGGATTTCTCAGGCTGATTACCCACATGGAAAAGCTGGCCCACCAACCCATGCATTTGAGGCAAATAAGTGATCTTAGAGGAGGTCAAGACCTGGAAAATGGGTGGAACTTGGAAGTAATCTTAACATGTAATAGCACTACTGAACTTCTTATTTTAGGATCGAAACAGACACCTCATTATCTACACCAGTCCCTTTTTCCATTTATAAAGGAAGCAACATTTATTGTAAACAAGAAAGCAATCATATCACAGCTGGAGTATTCCCTAGTTTATTCTTAAGCTAAAGTGAAGCTAGATAGAATAATCACAACATATCAATGTTGGTAAACAAAGCTAATTTACACATACTGTCTCATTCTACACATCTAGTGAGCTGTCTTAATCTCTTGCGATGCTTTCAGTCACAAGATCATGCATGTAGTGCACAACAGATCTTTTTATCCTTCAAGTCTTCCATTTAGCCTCTTGAGGTAGATCATACCTTAGCTCATCAACATGACAAGGATAATGCTCTAATCAAACACTCTGGTGGGCCATTATGGCACACAATAACAGGTGTTCTTGATGACTTTATCAGACATGCATCAGAACATTCCCTTTCAACAGAGGAACAAATTATTTCCATTTAATGCAAAGCTTCAGGATATACTTTAGGAAGGCTAGAACTGGGGGGACACAATGGAGAGACAAAATTATTATGTCTGCAGTGACACATAATAACACCTTTTATAATATACGCTGTTTAAATTGAATTCATGTCATCATTCCTTTCCAGGGTTTCCAGAAGAGTTTCCATGGCCCAGTGTGGGAGCTGGGAGCATACAATTAGATGCCAATTCCATGAGGTCACTTGAGATCTGAAAACTGCCCAGAGCTGTACCACTTCAGTGTGTGATTTTGTTAGGACTGGCAAGAAAAAAAAAACAAAGATCAGGTTGAGGAAGCTGATGTACCAGCTCTGTTTGAAGGTAAGTCTGAGAGACTACACTGAGCAGTGTGTGTGGCAGGACTGCTTCTATTTTCTGAAATAAATAGCTCTGCTGGGTGTTGGGCAGACTGTCTGTCTGATTTGTTTGTGAAGGTATCCTGATAGGTTTCCAGTGCCACTGAAAATCTATCCCATGCATGAGTATGAGCAAACATCCGCTCATCATTTACATGTATATTTTTACATGCCATAATTTTGCTTATAGATGAAAGAAACAAGGCAGAGTATGCTGTGCACACCCTAGATATGCAGAAGAGTGCAAGTAATTTTATAAATCAGAGTAATTTCTCTCAGGTTGAAGCTTGAACTAATGAAGACAGGGATATTATGCATTTGAAGGAAACAGTCCTTACAGTGAAGGATTTCTTAAAATGTGAAATGTCTTCTCAGCCTCTCACCCTTTCCTCTCATAGTTTCTCACTTAATATTTTCCTATACAGGGAAATAGCGTATTAGGTCATTTACTATGTTTGAGGGATTCTTTCTTTGTTAGTACCTCTTCATTTTCTCACAGAGTAGTTGAGACTGAATAGGAACTCTGGAAATTATCTAGTCCTACCCTCTTACCCAGGCACAGCTGGTCACAATAGACTGTCCAAGCTTTTATTGATTTTGGTTTCTGAGGACGGAGACTTCACAGCCTTTCCCTGGAAGGGGGTGGCAATATACCATGCAATTTGCTGTTTTATCTTCCTGCACAGAGTAGCTGTTCCTACATGTAAAATAGAAAACGTCCCTAAAAAAAATTTAACAAATCCTCACATAAAAATGTTACAGGCAACTCTTCCTTGCAATTCTTCAGCACATGGATTGTTAGCGAAGAATGGAAGACAACCAGTCGGCAGTCAATATTCTCACCACAGTCCAGGCCACTAGGAAGCACTACAGTGCTTCACTGTACATCACAGGAGACCACAGTGATGTTGCAGAAGTTCACTTGCTTTGAATTCTTGTAGGCAAGGTGCAAATGGCACTTCATTTGTATGTTGCAAGCCAAACATGCAGATGATTTCAATGAATCCCTAGAACGCAGCTTAGATATCTTTTATAATATTCATTTAATGGAAGATCTCATAAATAATTTCCACACATGATGCAGTATCTACACATAATATATGCTGTCTGAGCAGATATGAGAATCCTGGGATCAAGCCAACCAGCTGGTGCAGCTGTGCAGGCAGTGACAAGGTTGGTGTCACAAAAAATGCCAGCCACTACATTTAGTTAGCACTCCCAGGAGGTGGATTAATTCATAATTAGGCAGCCATCTTTTAATAATTTACTCACCTCTTCCTCTGAGCTGAGGTGCAGCCATGATAACACAGGAAACGAGAGACTGCTTCAGTGAGCACAAATGCAAATCTCAAACGGCTTAATTAAATAAGGAAGTTGTTATTCATTCCAGTCGTGAGGCAATATTCACACTGCAATAAAAACAATAAAAATAAGCCATTGTGTTCCAGAGGACAAGCTAGTCAAGAAAATGCACTCTATATATCATGCGTTGACACTTTTGGAAGCATAAACTGGTTATGATTAACTCTAGAAGCGTTGCCTTGTCCTTTCCAAAACAGATGAGTGGATTTAGGAACTCATCCAGCAGAAAGGCAGCCAAGGGCTTCGCTACTGCCAACAAATGCTCTGTAAGTTCCTCCACATCGGTCTTACACTCGACTTCACCTCCGACCTGCAAGGAGATCTCATGCTCCCTCTCCCTCCCTGTTGTTTGCAGTACTTGCCAGATGCTTTCTGAGTTTGCTGGAGTTTGTTTGTTCATTTCTGAAATACAAAGGAGCATCACTGAGAGATGAGATGCCCTGTTTAGCTGGCTTGCTGAGGCAGGCTGCGAGGCCTGCCCCACACGTTGAGGCCTGCCCTGCGGCTGGGTGCTGCGGGCACAGTGAAGCCCATGTGAAGCCCATGGGGGGACTTCTGAAACCAGACAACGCCTCAAAGAAGCCAGAACAACTCTTCACAGGGAACTTGCCAATGAGCTTTTTATTTAACATTTTTGTGATTAAGTGCAAGCAGCTACTAATACAGCTGAAGCAGAGAAACACAATACTGACTTCTTTAATCATGATTCTGGCAGGACATGAAGAAAAAACTCAGTTTGGCTCAGTCTCATATATTTCTCTCAAAATAAAGCTGTATTTCCAAACTCTGTACCAGCCTTGAGCACATACAGCGCTGCTTTGGAAGGGCCCCTTTTCCAAGAAGACAGCATTTCAATGCCCTTTGCTTAGGTCTCTTGCCATCCCTGATGTATATCTTCATATTTTTCCCCATTTCATTTATTTACTGCTAACACAACTAAATATTTTTCAGCATGTTTTTATCTCCTGCCAATTAATTATTCTGACATAAAATAATATATGTTCCCAAATCCTAGCGTCTCCTCTCTGGCATACAGCACAAGTGGTGGAAGGTATTTACACTCATCTCTGATAATGTGACCTTTTCTAGGGGAATAAATGCTCCAAAGATTCACAATTGCTACTCCATCACGTTCTCCCAACTGTGATTGCACTGCTTCAATTTTGTCTATAGCATTTTCTTCTCCAAGGTAAGGCCTTTGATACTCAATCCAATTTTTTTCATGACAGCTTGTGATTTGTCACCTTTCTGCTCATGAAAACAGTCTCCAGAGTGTTTTCTCTGCAAGTTTTTAACATCTTCCCAAAATGGGTTCTAGTCTTAAAATAAAAAAATGGTTGATTCAAAAGTTGCTCAAGTGTAGAAAATCTAAAATAATAGACTTTATAGAGGGAAACTTGTGTAACGTGGAAAAGGAATATGACGTTAATAGTGCTTCCTTTGTAGCAGTCATGTTTCCTGGGAAAACGCTATTGCTTTTAGTGCAGGAATTAACAATTTTCTGAAATCTGTGATAAATATAACCGGCACTTGAGGAATACCTATTACCCAACCCAAAGGAACTATTTTTATCCTGAAATAGACCATGAGATCAAAGCTTTATAGCTTCTAGGCGTGGATTTATTTTTCACTTTCTCTTTGACAAGAAGCAAACACAGCCTTTCTACCAAGAGGAGTAGCCTTTTTTTGGCATGATGGATAAAGAATTTAATCATTTGCCTTGAGGCTCTGTCAGACATTCCTTACTGCTCTGTTGACAATGAAATGTCAAAAAGGTCCTTAGAGCACTAATTTCATTTTACTTATTTTCTTGCTCTCTAAGGAATGCCAATATAAATAGCTAATTGTTTTTAAATCTAAACATCAACCTAAGCAAATAAATTACCTGATAGCAGAGTGATATTTCCAGAAATCCTTCAGGCCAGCATAAGTGGGAAAAGGAACATGTCTGAAGGCAAGAAAGCTTGCCAACTTTCTGATAACAAAGGTCCAGTTAAATGGTGTTTACTCCCTAATTTCTCCACTACAAAAAGACTGTCACTTCCCAAAAGTGAATCAGACTCCCAGATGTTTTTATCAGGGCAGAGTAACATGAATGCTGTGTATACAGCATACAAGGAGTATGGTCTATCTTTACTATGCATCACTCACCTCATTTGTATTCTGTTCCATCAATAAGCATACCAAAATTTTTTGTAGAACAGTTCTGGATTTAATGCCGCACAAGTGGTATATCTTAGTTCCTGAAACTGCTTTGCTGGCTGAGGTTTGCACTGGATCATGATCCCAGCACCAGATGTACTCTTCCCAGCCTTTTCTTATGTTTCCTTCTCCTTCTGTTATTGGAGATAAGGTGAAATTTGCCAGCTTCTTGAGTGTATGGATATTCTACATCTGTATATTTGGAACTTCTGCAAAAAGTTCACAAATACCGAGCCCTGTGTTCAGGCCGAGCTGTTTTCTGTTAGAAGAAAACATCTCACATGACCATGACCGAAGTCGTCTGGAATAAAAAGCTTCATTGGGAGGGAGGGAGTGCTGTTTCAAGTGGCACAAAGTTGCTCCTTTGGGAGCACTGCTATCTGAGATAGTCTCAAAAGAAAACAGATCCCATTCACATGAGCTCTGGGCTCACTTTCAGACACAAACCATAGTTGCAAACTGAACCAGAGCACTGCAATGGAACTTAGCCAGCTTCAGGAGTAAAATTGGCTACAAAGGCAGACTAAGCATCATAACTCAGAACCTGTTTGAACATGTGCTACATGCCTTATGATTCTTTGCATCTCAAAATCAGGGTATAGGCAAAAGACTGTAGGCTGCTGCTTAGCTCAGCAGGTCCTGCACTGATAGGGGAACAATTGCAACAGCTACTGAGAGCCCCTTGTACACAGGACTCTCACACATGCAAACACAAAAATACCACGTGTAGCTCAAGAAGCCCTTGAGCCAGAGATTGCTGCAGGTAGGGCAGGAGAAGTGCAGTGGGAGGAGTTGCTGCCTTCCCCTTCGCTCCCCCAGGACAGCTTTTACCGGTGTAAATCTGTTAATAGGCTCAGTGGAGCTGTGGTCTCCCTTGCTGTGTCTAGTCTTAATCATTGAAATACAAAGCATTTAATGCATAAATGCTTCGCAAAAAAACCATCACTGATGTAGTGAAGGAGGTATGACAAGGCCAACTGCTGTGCAATAGCCTTTCGCACTATCTCTGTGGGGATTCGGGGGATTCTAAGCCTCAGAGGTTGTTTTCCAGCCTTTCTTGGTGACCTCCTTCCCACAAGAAGGGAGCATGTGCTGCTGCCTGTTATTCATAGCTGCCAAGGAATACTGCTCCCAGGAGTAAGGAAAAGGAGAGAAAAAATTTTCACATAATCCCTTCTTCCCAACGAGCTACACACAAGGTCTGTTTGGCATGGTGAATTGTTACTTGAAGAAGGCTTGTGAAGGTAGACAATTGCTTCTGTCATTTAAAGCTGACTAGAATTTCTGCAAATGACAGTAACAACTCCTTCTTTTTCATTTCACACAAAGAAGAAGTTATTTAGCACCTGGCAGGACTTGAGCAGCAAACTGGAAGGGGTATCTTGTACCACTTCACTTCAGCCCCTACATAAGGGAAGCAACAGCTCTTGAACAGTCTGTGCGTCTCCCTCCCACATGCCATAGTAGTGTATGCATCTGTACAATAAATGAATATACAGATGATACAGTATATTCGAGAGCTTGGCTTATGTAAGGATTATACAAGAGCAGAAAAGGACACTCACCCTGTCCTGGGCTTGCATAGGTAACTCCAGTGCAATGGATCTCCAGAAGAGAAACCTTCCCTGCTAGCAGTCAGCTCTTAAATGGGTCTAGGAGAGGTGGAGCCAGGCTCCACCCCTTCCAGCAGCACAGGTGAATTGCCTTCACCTGTGCTCCTATAGCTGACTCATTGCTCGCCTCAGGTGATCAATCAGAGGTTCAGGCCATGATTCAGTGGTCCCCATACAGTACCAATAAAGAAAAGAAGCTTTTGGCCTAAAGCAGTCACCAAAATTACAGATGAAATGACAGCATCTATCCATTCATTTGTAAAGTGAATGGATATTCATCAGAATAAACAGGCATTACATAAAAGTCTTTGCATAGCCATTATCTTCACTGTAAATGTTATATGAACAGTGAGCCAACTACTCAACGCTATTATTTTTCTAAATAGTTTTAATTATTTATTATTTTATATTATTTTTCATTTTTATTGATGTCATTTACCTGGACTTGAGCAAGGCCTTTGACATGGTCCCCCACCACATCCTTATCTCCAAATTGGAGGAATGTGGATTTGATGGGTGGGCCACTCGACGGATAAGAAATTTATTGAAACTGGCAGACAGAGGGTGGTCATCAATGGCTCTATGTCCAAGTGGAGGCCGATAACGAGCGGTGTCCCCCAGGGGTCTGTGTTGGGACCGGTGCTCTTCAACATCTTTATCAGTGACATCGATGATGGAATCGAGTGCACCCTCAGCAAGTTTGCTGATGACACCAAGCTGAGTGGTGCGGTTGACACAGTGCAAAGAAGGGATGCCATTCAGAGGGACCTCGACAGGCTGGAAAGGTGGGCCTGGCTGAACGTGATGAGATTCAACACGGCAAAGTGTGAAGTTGCACTCAGGCTGGAGGAATCCCAGGCATCCCTACTGACTGGAAGGAGTGGCCCTTGAGAGCAGCCCTGCAGAGAAGGACCTGGGGGTCTTGATAGATGAAAAACTTAACATGAGCCAGCAGTGCTCTTGTGGCTCAGAAGGCAAATGGTATCCTGGGCTCCATCAGAAGAGGAGAGGCCAGCAGGGACAGGGAGGTGATCGTCTCTTTGAAAGGGTTGATAACAGCAGGACAAGGGGAGATGGTTTTAAGTTGAGGGAGGGGAGATTTAGGTAGGGGGAAGTTCTTTACAGAGAGAGTGGTGAGGTGCTGGAACAGGCTGCCCAGAGAGGTTGTGGATGCCCTGTCCCTGGAGGTGTTCAAGGCCAGGTTGGATAGGGCCCTGGGCAGCCTGGTCCAGTATTGAATGTGGAGGTTGGTGGCCCTGCCTGTGGCAGAGGGCTGGAGATTCATGATCCTTGAGGTCCCTTCCAACCCTGGCCATTCTGTGATTCTGTGATTCTGTGATTTTTTTTTTAATAATAACAGTTTAGAGATTAAAGTAAATTTCTGAGTAGGCGCAAAGATCTTTATTTTCAATACAGCTGGAAAGGGAGAAAGGAGATTAGCAATCTCCTTAGCAAAGTTTTCTTTGACTCTTTTCCTTCCTCGTCAGTCTGATCCAAATGGATGTTAGCTTTTCAGCTAAGTTCAGTGACTGCTGAGTCACATCTTCACTGACAAAATCAGTATCCTTTAGCTAAGCTTTTTTTATTGTGTTACTGCAACATCCAGATTTAGTCACCTGTTAAACAGTGCTGATGGTGCCTCCTTCCAGAAGTAGGGGTCTGCAGATGAATGGTGTTATGGAAGAGGATGGTGCTGCACCATTACTGTGGCAATCATAGAATCATAGAATGCCCTGGGTTGAAAAGGACCACAGTGATCATTTAGTTTCAACCCCCCTACTATGGGCAAGGTCACCAACCACCAGACCAGGCTGCCCAGAGCCACATCCAGCCCGGCCTTGAATGCCTTCAGACATGGGGGCATCCACATCCTCTCTGGGCAACCTGTTCCAATGTGTAAATCATTTCGTACTTAGGGCTGCTGGTCACTGCTGGTACTTGGAAGCCCAGCGAAATGCCTCTGAGAATGAGGAATGAAACATTGCTAGTAGAACAGCAAAAGGAAAAAAGAGAAAATCCCAGAAGAGTCATCCCTAGAAATTCTTTCCTGAGATTGCAGCTGAAATGACTGCAGTGATTGGTGAAACAGGCATTAATCATGCTAGCAGATTTATCTTATTGAGAGTAATTAGCTACTCCGCTGGCTTCCATTCTACTCTGCAGTAGTGATTGGCTGGTAGAAAATTTTCATGGCAACCATATGAATGTACACACCCGTACACAGATCCTGACCAGATTATAAATTAGCTTCACCATGGAAGATTTGATGCATAACGTCTGCTTTTAGAAAGAGAAGTGCTCAATACAAAGCCCCTTAGTGTGATCTCTTCGTTTCTTGGATAGCAATGGAAAAATTTCCATTTATTTTTATGGAGCTAGGGTTTTGCCCTCGGTTTTATTTGCCTGTATTCTATCTCCAGGGATTTTCAGGGCTTTTTGAACATCTGTCAGATTCAAGTGGCAGAAGGAAATGGGCTGGGTTTTTTTTTTTTGTCCAAATAACATATTTTTAATGGATTCCACTAAAACCTGAATCAACCTGACAGCAGATACAACTTGGGTATCCACAAGCAAAATAAGGTCTAGCTCTAAGTTTGGAGTTTATCAGCAGCCCACCCATAAAGTGTGGAAAATTCACAAGATTATGCTTCCTTCATACATTGATTTACTTATAAATTACTTTACTGAACTAATCTCTCAGTTTATTCCATACTAATTAAAATTTCTATGCTAAACCGCAACTGCAGAATCCATTTGATGCAGCTGATTGGCAGATAGAATAACCATAGAAGCATAAAAAATAGGCAAGAAAGAGTATAGAAAGACAAATTTTTACTTTCTAGGGGGCACATTCACAAAGAGTAATGCTTCTCAAAACCAATTAGTAATTCTGTGTCCAATAGAAGTTCACTGATGATACTAGGTTTTCTGAGGCCAGGCACTGAGCACTGTCAGGCTCTTCAGTAGTTCTGAAGCTGGTATCCAAAAAGTGAAGAATTCAAAATCATTAGTCACCTAATGGAAATGGTATGCAGTGTTCATAAAATTACAAGGGTCGGAAGGGACCTCTGGATACCATCAAGCCCAACTCCCCCATTAAATATGATTCCTTATAGTACTTTGCATAGGATAGTGTTCAGGTAGGTTATGATTATCTCCAGAGAAGAGGACTCCACAACTTCACTTTGCAGCCTGTTGTGGTACTCTGTCAACCTCAAAGTAAGTATTTTTTTCTTATGTCCAGATGAAACGTTTTGTGTTCCAGTCTGCACCCATTGCCCCTTGTCCTGTCACTGGTTATCACTGAGAAGAGCTTGGCCCCATCTGCTTGAAACCTGCCCATTAGATATTTATAAGCATTGGTAAGATTCCCTGCTAAGATTCCCTGGGGACTCCCTCAGTCTTCTCCAGGCTAAAAGGCCCCAACCTTCTCAACCTTCCTTATACGGGAATGTGCTGGACTCTGTCTAGGAGATCTCTGTCTTTCTTGAACTGAGGAGCCCAGAGCTAGACACAGTACTCCAGACATGGCTTCACCAGGGCAGAGTAGATGGGGAGGATCACCTCTCTTGACCTGCTGGCCTCACTCTTTTTTATGCACCACAGAATCCCCTTGGCCTTCTTGGCCATGAAGACACATTGCTGGCTCATGTCTTCATACATTTTTTCCCATTCCTAGTTCTCAAACCTCCAGACGGGTTTCTTTTTAAAACCGTTTAATTTCAGCTCAAGTGTTTCTCTCCTAATTTTTTGATCTCCTGCTCCCTTGGGTTTTTTATTTTGGAGGAAAAGATAGATGAATAACAAATAATGAAGGAGATTGTTTCATGTGCAAGAAAACACAGGCTTTTGGCAGTGTCTGCAAGGGCTTCCACACATTTCTCTCTTACTTTTTCTGCTGCTGCTGTTTAAATGCTGGTGGGAGCAATCCATGTAGCTGGAAGAGAAGGTGCCTAAAAATGCAAACTACATCTTTAGCAGTAGTGCAACAATTACAAGGATGATGGGTAACTGTATGGAGACAGATCTTACTCTATGTAAGAGTGCCAGCAACACATAAAATGCTGTCCCCAATTGCTGATGTATAAAAGAGTTTACAGCTGAAGGACTCAAATCCCAGGCACTTTAAGTCTTGTTCCTTCTCTTGCAGTCGTAGATACAAATGTGTGAATCAGACAATAAAAGCAAAGTCTAGAGTCCTGCATAAGAACACTATTCAACACTGACTCCTGATAGGTAAACCAAATGGATAATGGAGTTTGTGTTAATTAGTAATTTCTTCTGGAAGGACCTGCAGCTTATCAAGTGGAGGAAATAATCTGTGCTAGTGTTTTATACAAACTGTGCAGTGTCTGAGAATTCAATTAACTAGAATTGAGGAAAATTTGAATTAACTGGCAATTTCATTAAATTCTTCTCTTTTTTGTTTACCTTAAGTGTATAAATAATTTGTATTTGCCATTTACAGGGGAAAATAAAGTAGTAAAACAATCTTTAGCTATTTCCTTGTGAAAAGCAAATATTGTGTAGCAACCCTTGCCTTTTTCAATATTTGTAAAGCTTGGTAAGATGGGGATTTATGTGTATGTATTAGTGACACAGATACAATAAACTGTGCTATTTCTAAAACAACCCATGAACCCATTAGTTTCAGATTAGTTTCTTTCTGGGGTTGCTCAGAATCACAAGCAGGAACAATTGGTCCAGCATCTGAGATAAGAGTTTCTGACACAGTACTGTGTTGTGAGAGATGCCCAACTGAGCTCTACACAAGTCTGTTGAAGTACCAGCCATGCTCAGCTGTGTTGCAGGACATTGGACCATGTGAAAAGAACAGCTCCCATTTCCATTGGGCTCATCTGGCTTTTCCAGCCTGGGCTTAAGGGGGTTTTTGTTCATGTTATATTTCAGTCTTCCTGGCTCCTTGAATATTGTTCACTTTTTGCATACTGGCATAATTTACAACAATGACAGGGAATGTCTTGCTTTTCTTAGTCTGACCCCTGCT